CCCCCCCCCCCCCCCCCCCGGTTTTTTTGCCGTAACACGGGGCTTACGGTAATACCGTATGATGCAAATGGGCGACTGGACAACTGTCAAATGTTGTTTATGCGTTTGTTAGACTTCTAGGCTACAGTGAGGTTCACAGTAGAGGGTACATGTTTCTCTACACACTTAACTTGTACTACCCCTTCCCCTATTAGTCGATATCACTTCCGCTTGCTATCTATGAGATGGTATCACACGCTTAAGTTCCTAGGCCTAGATTGTTCCCAAACCGCCCAAGTCTTTAGCTTCCCTCCCCTCCAGCCGTCACGTCCCTCCTAGGCCGCCAGAACGCACGCCCCAGCCAGCTGCTGTGCGCGCACGTGCACAGCAACAACCGCGCACGCACAGCAGCAAGGGCCGCGCACGAGGCTGCCACAGCCGGCCCACAGCCCCCCGTAGGCCCTGTTTAGTGGCGTTTACCAGGCCTCCGTGGGCCCCGTTTAGTCACGCTCAGGAAGGCCCCCGCGGGCCCGTTCTGTCTGCCTCAGCCAGCCTGCCTGCCCCAGCAGCCACGAACGCTCAGCGCTGCGCACGCCACTCTCCACATGCTGCCCGCACGCAGCTCCGCACGGCTGCATTACACGCAGCCAGCAGAAGATCTAGCGCGAGCGCACTAGCTGGAACTAGCCGCCAGCAGCAGCCACCAGCCGCCCACAACTCTTCCCAGCTGCCCACAGCTCATCCCAGCCGGCCACAGCCTCTTTCTGCCGCCCACAGCCTCTCCCAGCCGCCCACAGCCCCTCCTAGCCGCCCACCACCGCCTAATTCCGCCCATTTTTGGCCTATTGCCGCCCATAGCCGCCCACAGTACCACCAGTGCCCACTGTCTCGTGCACGCCTCCTGCCTTTGGCATCCCTAACAGCGGCGAGCAGCCGCAGTCACTTTTCCTGGCATAGTTTCGGTTTTGTGCCCCGACTGGCGTTCCTAGCCCGCCTTGCGTAGCCGACTGTTCCTAGGCTGGTGTCTCTTCGTCGGTAGTTCCTAGTATCGCTCTAGCTGTTCCTAGCTCCAGCCGTGCCTTGCTCCAGCCGCTCCTACCTCCAGCCACTCCTAGCTCCAGCCGTGCCTAGCTCCAGCCGTGCCTTGCTCCAGCCGTGCCTTTCTCCAGCCGTGCCTTGCTCCAGCCGTGCCTTGCTCCAGCTGTGCCTTGATCCAGCCGTGCCTTGCTCCAGCCGTGCCTTGCTCCAGCCGTGCCTTGCTCCAGACGTGCCTAGCTCCAGCCGCTCCCCGCTCCAGCTGCTCCTAGCGCCAGTAGTTCCTAGCCTGGCGTTTCCTCGTTCTGGCAGTGTCTAGCTCTAGCTTCTCCTAGCGTGCCGCTCCTACGCCCATATAGCCTTTACCATGGCGCCCGTTAGGGTTCTGCAGCAGCAGGGACAGCAGCAGCGGCAGTTTCAGCAGTGGGAACCTCAGCAGCCGTGGCGCCCTCAGCAGCAGTGGCGCCCTCAGCAGCAGTGGGGGCCTGGTGGTTTGGATAGCGTTGGCTGCAGTAGCGGCCCAGCCAGCTGGGGGGCTCGTCGCGATGGCCGCGACGTCGGCCCCTGCCATTACCGGATCCTGACTGGCCATGTTGCTGGCACTACCTGCTGGCGTCCTGACCACTCTGCACAGCGCTGCTACAGTCGCCTCGACGACCTCTACCGTGAGCGTTTTGGGCCTGACTCGAGGCCCCCGATTTGGCCCGGTCTGTCTCGTAGTGGTTACCATGTGTTTGGTATGTCTATGGATGCTGCTTATTCTGTCACGTATGGATCTTTTGGTTTGCGTGCACCTAGCTTAGGACCTTTGCCTGTTGCTAGTGTATGTACTTGTGCTTTGAATGTAGGTGCTTGTGTAGTCACTAGTCCAGCCGTGACGACTACTATTGCGTCCAGGGCTGACGTTTCAAAAAACGGCACTCTGATTTTGACCCCCCTAATTATTTTTTACTCTGACGGGACTTCGGCCGCAAACTAGCTAGTCTGAGCCTGTTAAATATTTTTAGTGTTGAAAAAATAGCAACCCTAGGCTCTCAGGGTTGGGAAACTCAAATCAGAGTTGCGTTTTTGTTTCTTTCCTCTTCTTCCTTTCTTGTTTTAGCGAGAGGAGATAGTTCGGTAGGCCGCAAGTGGAGAGTGGGAATGTTGCAAGGGGGCAAGAGGAAATGGGCAGCACGTCGCTGTCAGCTGCAAATGGCTGGTGGTGCAACACTGTACTGTACAGTCGCAGAACAACTTGGCGAATATGGCGGTGGCACGCGTGGCGTGGAGCGAGCTGCTGGGACAGAGGCTGCACAATGTGGGCCGCGTTTGACTTTTGCAAGTGGCTAGCAAACGCAAGTGGCGCGAGAAAAACAGTTGCTCGCGCCACTGTTTTCGACCAAGCATATGCAAGCACAACACTTGGCGCATGTGAGTGAAGTTGACGGTGACGCGTGTGGTGTGGAGCGAGCTGAAAATTTGATGTTGTGCTGTATGTGCGTGCGCCGCTGACAGCAGGAAACATGGTGTACAAATATCTTCGCTGGCTGCCCCTGTAGGCACAAAACCAACCAAATTATCGCGAGAAATTATATTTTAGCCGTGGGTTTTGTTTCATGCACTGATTTGTATGAACTTTCAGCCTCAGCGATAATTCTGGCTCAGTCAAACTTCACGAATCAACGAATAAGATAAAGCTTTGTCAAACTTATATGTGCTGCTTATTGTTTAGGCTGTAGTGGGGTAGCCCATAAGAGGTACAACCCAATTAGGGTTTCCTACTTGTACCCATCCTGCTGCTAGTTCACACATTCCTGTTCATTATTTCTGACATGGTTTCAGAGCAGGTCCTAGCCTAGGACCGATTTTTTTTAGGGCCCACCGAATTGCGCTACCCCACGAGTCGCGCCGCCCTGTTAGCGTCGCGCCGCCCTGCCCTGCCCTGCGTCGCGCTGTCGCGCACGCCCTGCCCTGCCCTGCCCGCGCGCTGCTTGCTTCTGCGCGCACTGCCCTGCCCGCGCGTCGCTCGCTGTCGAGCAACGCGCCCTGCCTGCCGCGCGCCCTGCCCGTCGCGCGCCCTGCCCGCGCGCCCTGCCCGCCGCGCGCCCTGCCCGCCGCGCGCCCTGCTCGCGCGCGCTATCTGCCGAGCGCCCTGCCCGCCGCGAGCCCTGCCCGCCGAGCGCCCTGCCCGCCGCGCGCCCTGCCCGCCGCGCGCCCTACTCGCCACGCGCCCTGCCCGCCGTGTGCCCTGCCCGCGCGCGCTGCCAGCCGCACGCCCTGCTTGCCGCGCGCCCTGCCCGCCGAGAGCCCTGCCCGCGCGCGCTGCCTGCAACGCGCCCTGCCCTGCCCGCGCGCCGCGCCGCCGTGCGCCCTGCCCTGCCCGCGCGCCGCGCCGCCGCACGCCCTGCCCTGCCTGCGCGCCGCGCCGCAACGCGCCCTGCCCTGCCCGCGTGCCGCGCCGCCGCGCGCCCTGCCCTGCCCGCGCGCCGCGCCGCCGCGCGCCCTGCCCTGCCCGCACGCCGCGCCGCCGCGCCGTCCTGCCTTGCCCGCGCGCCTAGCCGTCGAGCGCCCTGCCCTGCCACGCGCCCTGCCCTGCCGCACGCCGCTTGCTGCAGCGCTGCCCTGCCTTGCCTTGCCTGCGTGCTGCTCTGCTGCTAGCGCGCCCGTCCGCTCTGCCCGCTATGGCCTCGCTCAATGTCCTCACGTTCGATCCGGAGGGCCGCCCGATAGAGTTCGATGCGTGGCTCGACGACTTACAGCTGTTCTTACTGAGCGATTCCAAGGACGGTGTTTCCCTGTTTGACCTCACGTCTGGCGCCTCTCTCGCGCCTGCCGCCACAGCTGACAGTACGACTCGTTCATAGTGGCTTATTCGTGACGCTGCTGCTCGTCTAGCCGTTCGCAACCACCTGCCGTTAGCCGGACAACATAAGACAATGAAAGCACCGTACGACACTGTAGTCGCTCGTTACTCCTCCCCGGCCACTGCTGCTCTAGGCCGCCTTCTCCTGCCCTACCTGTTCCCAGAGCTGTCCGACTTTGCCACAGAAGCCGACCTAGTCACTCACCTTCGCACTAGTGACACTCGCTACCGCGCTGCGCTTCCCGCCGAGTTTCTCACCAAGAACCCTCCTCCTATGTACATCACTCTCTACTTCATAGTCACCCGCCTCCCTAACTCTCTCACTGCAGTCAGGGACCTCCTTCTAGCCCTCGACCCCACCGACCTCACTGTCGACCTGCTCGAGAAGCACCTCCTAGCAGCTGAGTCTAGCATAGTTGCTGTAGGCGCTTCTCGTGGCACTCCCCGCACTCCCTTCTTTGAGGGGTGTTCGCCTTCCCCTCTTCTCCCCTCAGTCGCCTCTGCTGCAGCTGTTGACTACCTTCGTGCTGAGGAGGTAGGAGCTGCGTCTGCCCCTAGTGGGAGGCGCCACAACGGCAGGGGCAGGAGTGGTGGGGGCGGCAGAGGTGGAGGCGGTGGTGGGGGCGGTGGAGGCGGTGGAGGGGGCGACGGTGGCGGAGGGAGTGGTGGTGGGGGTGGAGGTGTAGGTGGCGGCGGTGGTGGCGGCGGTGGCGGTAGTGGCGGCGGCGGTGGAGGCGGCAGTGGGAGTGGAGGCGGTGGCAGTGGAGGCGGCCGGGGTGGTACCAGTCAGAGGGGAGGCCTTGGCGGTGGTCAGAGGCAGCAGTGGCAGCGTCAGCTTTCGCCCCAGGAGCTACGTGAGTGGTTTGCTCGGCGTGGGGTGGCTTGGGGTAGTGGTCCCTGCCTGTATGTCATTCGCACAGGTGACCGCACTGGTCAGACATGCGGCAAGTTCCACACCCAGCACCGCTGCTTCTCTCGTCTTACCGACGCCTTCCGCACAGAGTTTCCCGACGCGGCTGAGCTCCCTCGCTGGGGAGACCTGCTTAAGCAGGGCGTAGACATCTTTGCTTTTGATTATGATGCTATCCTTTCTGCCATGTATGCATTGACTGCTAGTGCTGAGGGTGACTGTTACCTGTGTATGCCGCCCGACCCGGGTATAGAGGTCGCTGCTCTAGGTGCTGGTGAGTCTGCTGCTCTAGGTGCCAGTGAGTCTGCTGCTCTAGGTGCTGGTGAGTCTGCTCTCTCTGGTACTGCGCCTGCTGAGGCCTTGCACACCTTCATGCTTGACTCAGGTGCTTCCCGCTGTTTCTTTCGCGACAGTACCACAGTCACACCGCTCCCTGCACCTGTTGCTGTCTCTCTGGCTGACCCCTCTGGGGGCCCAGTCCTTGCTCGTTCCTCCACTGTTCTCCCGTGTCCGGCGGTCCCGTCTGGCTCACTGTCAGGTCTTCACCTCCCCTCGTTTTCTGCGAACTTGGTGAGCAACGCCGTCCTTCAGGATGTATGGGTTGACACCTTTACTCCAGGAGGACAGCGTGTGGCGATCTGTACGTGCTCCCGGACTGGCCGGCACCTGGCCACGTTCACCCGTGCGCCTGGCTCGAGTCTGTACACACTGACTACTGTGTCTCCTCAGGTAGCTGCGTCTGCGTCTGCGTCAGGTCAGCTAGCAGCCCCCTGCTCGTGTCGCGCTCTGTCGCACCAGACCCTCCTTTGGCACCACCGTCTTGGTCACCCCTCAGTGCAGCGCCTTCGTGGTATGCACTCTCGTCTCCTTGTCTCTGGTCTTCCCAGGACTCTGCCTCCCCTCCCACCCTCGCCTGCCCCTCCCTGTCTTCCCTGTGTCGAGGGGCGGCAGCGCGCCGCTCCTCACTCCTTTGAGTTTCCCCCGACGACTGCTCCCCTGCAGACTCTCCACATGGACGTGTGGGGCCCAGCCCGCGTCCGTGGACAGGGCTACGAGCGGTACTTTTTGCTGGTTGTCGACGACTACACGCGTTACACCACGGTCTTCCCCTTGCGCCGCAAGGGGGAGGTCCCTGATGTTTTGATCCCTTGGATCCGCGCTGTTCGTCTCCAGCTCCGCGAGCGGTTCGAGACGGACCTTCCCGTCCTGCGTCTGCACTCTGACAGAGGTGGTGAGTTTTCCTCCGACCTCTTGCGGGACTTTTGTCGTGGGGAGGGCATTCGCCAGTCGTTCACGCTTCCGGCCTGTCCGCAGCAGAATGGGGTTGCTGAGCGCCGCATTGGCTTAGTCATGGAGGTCGCTCGTACCTCCATGATCCATGCGGCTGCCCCCCATTTTCTGTGGCCGTTTGCGGTCCGGTACGCTGCGCATCAGCTCAACCTCTGGCCCCGTGTCTCCTTGCCGGAGACCTCGCCGATACTGCGTTGGACGGGAGAGGTTGGCGATGCGTCGGTGTTCCGGGTCTGGGGATCTCGTGCCTTTGTCCGCGATACATCCGTGAATAAGCTCTCCGCCCGCGCCATTCCCTGCGTCTTCCTTGGTTTTCCCCCTGACGCGCCTGGCTGGCAGTTTTACCACCCCACCTCGCGCCGTGTCCTGCCTTCTCAGGACGTCACGTTCGACGAGTCGGTTCCCTTTTACCTTCTCTTCCCCTACCGCACTGCCCCGCTCCCCCCCCCGCCGCTCATCCTTGCACCAGGTCCTCCTCCGGTAGACCCCCTCCCCCCTCAGGGTCCTGCTCCCTCAGGTGTGTCTCAGGTAGACCCTGTCGAGCCTGTCGAGGTCGCTGTCGACTCTGGTGCTGCTGGGGGTGCTGAGCCTGCGCGTGCGGAGCCTGGGGGTGCTGAGCCTGAGCGTGCGGAGCCTGGGGGTGCTGAGACTGGGGGTGCTGAGCCTGGGGGTGCTGAGTCTGCTGGAGGTCCTACAGGTGCATCGTCGAGGCGGGAGCCTCTCTCTCCACCGCAGCTGCGCGAGTGGTTTGCTCGTCGCTGCAGACTTCGCAGGGGAGCTGCTGGAGCTGGGGGGTCGGCCACTGGAGGTACTGGAGCCGCTGGTACTGGAGGTACTGGAGCTGCTGGAGCTACTGGAGTTGCGGGAGCCACTGGTCCCGGAGGTGCTCGTACTGGAGGTACTGGAGCTGCTGGAGCCACTAGTGCTGCTGGAGTTGGAGCTGGAGGTACTGGAGCTGCTGGAGCTGGAGGTGCTGCCGGCGATGGCGCTGGAGCTGCTGGAGTTGCTGGAGCCACTGGTCCCGGAGGTGCTCGTACTGGAGGTACTGGAGCTGCTGGAGCTGGTGGTGCTGCAGGAGTTGGAGCTGGAGGTTCTGGAGCTGCTGGAGCTGGAGGTGCTGTCGGCGTTGGCGCTGGAGCTGCTGGAGCTGGAGGTGCTGGAGCTGGTGGTACTGCAGGCGTTGGATCTGGAGACCTTGGAGCTGGGGGTACTGGTGCTGTCGGTGCTGGTTCTGGAGGCGCTGCGCGGCCGCGGCCGTACTTTGTTCCCCTGCTTCAGCAGGTTCTTGGTCTCCCGCCTTCTACTGGCTCTACTCCTCCCTTACTGTGTCCACCGCCTGACCGGTCGCAGTCGCAGTTACAGCGAGCCTCCCCACTGCCTGCTCCTTCTCCTTACACTGGGCCGACAGGAGGTCTTGCGGAGCGTCGTGAGCCTGAGTCTCGTCCTGCGTCACCTGTTCACGCTGGTCGCACTGGTAGTCGTGTTCCACGTCCGCATCCCCCCCCTCTCCCAGGCACGCACCAGATGGCACTTCGTCCTTCCTCTGTTCCACTGCGTGTCCCTCTGCCGTCTCCTCCTGCGTCCTCTCTTCCTGACGTTCCTGACCCGCCGTCAGACCTTGCTCGTGCTGCCAGTCCTACTGTCACGCGTCTTCTAGCCACTGTATTCACTGACCCTTCGTTTGAGTCCACTACTGCGTCTGCCCTAGTTGCTGAGCTGGTTGACTTTGCTGCCGCCCGTTGCCTTGACTACGCTGCTAGTCTTGTTGCTGGGTCTGAGTCTGTCTGTCCTCCGTCCGTCGGGGGTGAGTGTGCTCTTGGCACGGACGTCCTTGAGGACAGACAGGAGGACTTTGAGTGTTTTGCAGCTGCTTTACCTCATCTCGTATCCATGCTGATTGCACCTGAGGGAGACCCGGATGAACCAGACATCCCGACCCCGCGCTCTTACGCAGAGGCGATTGAGGGTCCCTACTCCTCTCAGCGGCAGACAGCCATGGACGCAGAGATGGCTTCCTGGAAGTCCACAGGCACCTACGTCGACGAGGTTCCCCCTCCTGGGGCGAACATCGTCAGTGGCATGTGGATTTTCAGGGTGAAGCGGCCGCCGGGTTCTCCGCCTGTCTTCAAGGCGCGTTACGTTGCTCGAGGCTTCAGTCATCGTCAGGGAGTTGACTTCTTCCAGACCTTCTCCCCTACCCCGAAGATGACCACTCTTCGGGTGCTGCTGCACGTTGCCGCACAGCGTGACTACGAGCTTCACTCTCTTAACTTCAGCACAGCCTTCCTACAGGGCAGCCTACACGAGGAGATCTGGCTGCGCCGCCCACCTGGCTTCACTGGGTTGTTTCCTGCAGGTACCCAATGGAGCCTCCGGCGGCCAGTCTACGGTCTCCGCCAGGCGCCTCGCGAGTGGCACGACACACTGAGGACGACTCTTGCGGCTCTTGGGTTTGCTCCTTCTACTGCTGACCCGTCGCTGTTTCTACGCACTGACACTTCGCTGCCGCCGTTCTACATCCTCGTGTACGTCGACGACTTGGTCTTTGCCACTGCTGGCACTGAGGGACTCGCCCACGTGAAGTCGGAGCTGCAGAAGAGACACACGTGCACAGACTTGGGTGAGCTGCGCAGCTATCTTGGCTTGCAGATCACCCGGGACAGAGCACAGCGCACCATTACCTTGACTCAGTCACACATGGTGCAGCAGGTCCTTCAGCGCTTCCGCTTCACGTACTCCTCGCCACAGTCCACTCCTCTGCCTACCGGTCACTCGCTCTCAGCTCTGCCTTCGGATGAATCCGTAGAGCCGAGTGGCCCGTATCCAGAGCTTGTGGGCTGCCTCATGTACCTGATGACCTGCACTCGACCTCACCTTGCTTACCCTCTTAGCATCCTGGCTCGCTACGTTGCGCCCGGGAGACACCGACCAGAGCACTGGGAGGCCGCTAAGAGGGTGATGCGCTACTTGTGCAGTACATCGGGCATGGGGCTCGTGCTTGGAGGACGGGCTCATGTTGTCCTCACTGGTCACGTAGACGCTTCTTGGGTTGACGACTTGGCTACGCAGCGGTCGTCACAGGGTTACTCCTTCAGCCTTGGTTCCGGCTCTGTTTCTTGGCGGTCTACCCGCTCGTCTTCTGTTCTCAGTTCTAGTTGTGAGGCTGAGATCTACGCCGGGGCCATGGCTGCACAGGAGTTACGCTGGCTCACCTACCTGCTGGCCGACTTGGGCGAGCCGCCTCGTTCTCCTCCAGTTCTGTACGTCGACAACAAGGCCATGATTGCCTTGTGTCAGGAGCACAGACTGGAGCACAGAACTGTCAGAATCCCAACCACTAGACCATTGGGATAAAAGGGCTTGTTTCAGTTGCGGGTCAGTGCGCCCATAACCCCCCAGGCAAACGCGCCTGTAACCCCCCTTAGGATCGATCGGGGATCTCACAGTGTAGCTCTACTGACACCCCCCCACACTGGGAGGCCCAGGACTGAGCACAGTGGCAACGGCCTACATGTGCATACACCGGGATTCGAACCCGAGACCACTCTGATACCATGTCAGAATCCCAGCCACTAGACCATTGGGATAAAAGGGCTTGTTTCAGTTGCGGGTCAGTGCGCCCATAACCCCCCAGGCAAACGCGCCTGTAACCCCCCTTAGGATCGATCGGGGATCTCACAGTGTAGCTCTACTGACAAGAACGAAGCACATCACTCTGCACTACTTCCTTGCTCGAGAGTTGCAGCAGCGTGGTCGGCTTCGTCTTGCTTACGTGGCCTCTCGGGCCAACACTGCTGATATCTTCACCAAGGCACTTCAGCCTTGTTATAATCAGCGTTTCTGTACTGTTCTATGCCTTGTGCCTACTTGGCCTGACTTGCTTATCGACTCGCAGTAAGTCGACCAACACCTATAATTCATTTATTTTCGTCGCACATCTTCCTGCAAATCGCCAAATGGAGGGAAATAGAGATAATTCCGTACGGAAAATCGCGGAGTTACGTGCTGAGCATAAGCAGATACGTGCGGCGCTCCCACGACTTGAAAAACTCCTTGCGAACCAGTCGGCAACCGCCACAGCAGCAGCGATAGCAGCAGCAGCAGCAGCAGCGGCGGCGGCGACACCGATAATTGTATCTGCGACAACGGCAGCAGCTACAGTTTACCTCGAAGCAGCGAAGCCGAGGCAACCAGAGGCGTTCAAACCTACAGTTGAAAGGAGCGACGTTCGTCGATTTGTAGCTGAACTCGAAATTTAATTCAAAGCCGTTGGATGCACGACCCCGACAAAGGACGCAATGCGCATATGGCTCGCAGCAACACTGTTACAAGGCCCATCTCTAAAGTGGATCAACAACAGTATAGTCCAAGGCGAAGGGACGTGGGTGCAGTTTCGTGCAGCACTGATCGAACAGTTTGACGCGTTGAACAGTAGCTACTACGGAACACGACGCAACAAGCCAAATAGTGGCATGGGGCGATTGGCACCACCCACGACTGCCGACCCGATGGAGAACGACAAGGGCGATGTGGAGCAGCGGCTAGCAAAAAACGAGACGTGCAAATTTTGCGGCGCTACAGGACATCGTATCTTGGCGTGTTGGAAAATGAAGAAAAGGCGTGCGGAGCTGAGGGACAAGAACAGTGTGGCACCCCCGAAGCAGAAAACGGACAACGTGGCAACTTCGGAGAGGGCGAAAAAGGGAAAATATTGTGGCGCAAATTTAAAACGTCACGACCAGCCGGCACCAGGGGAAATCGCCGAGACTAAAGGAGGATCCGCGAAACAAGACCCTGCACCGACCGGGAAACTCCAGCCGTACACCCCGACAAGTAAGAATATTACTTATCGTGGGTTTCAAGCCTTTATTAAGGGAGAGTCAGAAATTAAACCGGTACCGGGTAATATGGGGACCCTACTCCAGAGCGCTAATAAGGGTCGAGCGTTCCGAGGAGTTAATATTCTCTCCCAGCAGCTCTGTGTAAAGGCTCCCTGTTCCCCACAGATGAAGCCTACACAGCTGCAAAGGCTTAGGGGAAGGTTCCAGGCACAGGAGAAGCTGTACCAGCCTCGGATAAATCCTTCTAACCCTACTCAGATGAAACCTGATATTGATTCAGCAGCTTCGAGCGCAGGACCTAAGAACGATATATTTGACGTACCCTATGATCCTGTAAGCAAGACCATCTACGGCTACTCGGAGCAGCAGCAGCCACTACTCCTCGAGGTGGTTTGCAACGGGCGACGCCTCCAGGCACTAGTGGACAGTGGTGCGTCCCACTCAGTGTGCGACCGCGGGACGTTGGAGAAAATTGGAGAATCCTCATAGGAGACTCAGTTTACAGCAACGATGGTGGACTGTACGAAGCTTCCCATCCACGGCGAGTCAACACTGCAACTGCAGATAGGAGCGTTAAGGTGGAAGCCGACGTTGCCGACCACGAACATCAAGGGATTAGATTTCATCTTGGGGCGTGATTTTCTGAAGCGGTTCAACCCCGAGATTGACTGGGTCAACCGGAAGGCGTGCATCTACAACAATGGGAAACGTGTGGAGCTACGAAGCTGGACGGATACAGGAGATGTTCCTGAAACGACACTGGCACGGTTCGAACGGACGGTGAACGAGAGTAACACGGGCTACCTAGCACTGGTTATGGCAGCAGCAGAGGAGGAGAAGCCGAACGCAGAGCTACCTGCAGCAGTAAAGGAGGTGTTGGAGCAATACAAGGACATCATGCCAGACGATCTACCTGCAGGAGTACCTCCAGCACGCACCCACGAGCACGAGATCATGGAGGAACCAAGAGCGAAACCCCTCCTAACATGGAAAGATCCTGAGAATGTGAAAGAGTTGCAGCAGTTCCTAGGCTTCGCCAACTACTACAACAGGTTCGTGCCATAGTACGCTAAGACAGCAGCGCCACTGATCGACCTACTGAAAAAGGATACGCCCTACAAATGGGATACTCCTCAACAGCAAGCCATGGAGCAGCTACAGACAGCACCGACTACAGCGCCAGTACTCATCCTACCGGATCCAGACAGAGACTACGTGGTGGAAGCAGACGCTAGTGACCAAGCAGTCGGAGCAGTACTGATGCAGCATCACGGACGCAGTTTGCAGCCCATCGCCTACCTCAGTAAGAAGCTGTTACAGTGGGAGAAGGACCTAGCTGTAAGAAAGAGTTCTGGGAAGATTTGGGTACCGAACTATGCCCCGCTCCGACAGATTCTACTGGAAGAGTTTCACGACGTACCGTACGCGGGACATTTCGGGAGCAACAAGACGTTAGCGGGAATAGCGAAGTATTACTACTGGCCCGGGATGGCAGCAGACGTGCAGCAGTTCGTCACCTCTTGCGACACGTGCCAGCGGATGAAGAGTAGCAAGCAGAAAAAAGCAGGGTTACTTCAGCCTCTACCCGTACCGGAGCAGCCATGGCAGGTCGTTAGCCTCGACTTCATCACAGGACTTCCTTCGACCTCACGGGGACATGATTCCATCCTCGTGGTGATCGATAAGTTCTCCAAAATGGGTCACTTCATCCCGACCAACGCCACAGCTACAGCTGAAGCAACTGCTCGCCTCTTCTTCGACCGCATCATCACCATCCACGGCATCCCCGCTACACTCATCTCAGACAGAGACCCCAAATTCACGAGTAACTTCTGGAAGGAACTCATGGGATTATTGGGGACTAAACTTGCGATGTCTTCAGCATACCACCCCCAGACCGACGGACAGACAGAGCGACTCAATCAGGTGGTTGAACAGTTACTGCGTACATCTTGCAAAGACGACATCAGCCACTGGGACACACAGTTACCGACCCTAGAGTTCGCTTACAACAACGCGTCACATGAGGCCACAGGGAAATCTCCTTTCTTCCTGTGTTACGGACGGGAACCACTCACACCACAACAGCCAACTACACCGGCACACGTCCAAGCCGCACATGACTTCGTCACCACCATGCAGCAGCTATGGGAGAAGACCCAGCGACGTCTCATCACGATGCAGACCTCCCAAAAGCAGTATGCCGATCGCCAACGACGAGATCACTCAGTAGCAGTCGGAGATCAGGTGCTTCTCGACACGCGCAACTTGAACCTGTCTCACCTACCATCCAAGCTCCGGCCTCGCTTCTGTGGTCCTTTTCTCGTTGAGGCACAGGTGACACCAGTAACATTCCGCTTGCGCTTACCTACTACGTGGAAGCTTCACAACGCTTTCCATGTTCAGCTACTGAAGCCCTACAAAGACCCCAACCAACAGTTCCAGCTACCGCCACCACCACCTGTTCTCGTACAGGATGAACCAGAGTACGAGGTGGAACGAGTGCTCGCTCATCGACGCAGACGCGGCAACACGCTCGAGTTCCTAATACGCTGGAAGGGATACGACCCGTCGGAGGACAGTTGGGTTGCAGAAGCTGATATGGGCAACACACGCCGTGCTCTCAAGGACTATCTTGTCAAGCAGGGTGTTTCTCACACCACCCCGCTTTCAGGGGGGGACGTGTGAGAGTACGACGGATTATGCTGGCTTTGCTAGCTTGCCTGGACATTATTATGCTATTAGTAGCTTAGGTTTTATTTATCATGCATAGATATGCTTGATTTCCTAGGTTAGGTGCATTCCTATATGTTATTATAGTTATAGCACCGAACCAGGTTACATGTACCGAACTCAAGCCTTTTCGGTTCCCACCGAATTGCTTTCTACTGAGTTCGGGAAGGTTCTGTTCAGGACGCTTCGCGACCCTCAGAACATTTGCGTAACACCTGGGTTACCTACCTTGTGTCGAGCCTATATATAGCCTCGCCTTGTACCCAGGTGGATCATTCAATAGATTTATCTTTCCTGAACCAGATCCTCACAGTTACCCCCCACCCCGCAGTCCTCCTTCCAGTCCCCTCCGTGGCCTTCGGCTCTTCCGCGACAGG